GCCTTTCTGCTCCTATGATGCTGCTTGACCTGCTGTGTTCATCCAGCTCTGCACCTTGTTGTCTCGGATTCTCCAGCATCTGCAGTTCCTACTATCTCAGGTTAATTACAGTTGCCTTGCTCATTCCAGATCGGAGATCCACTCGGAAAACCTGTGCAGATATTTCCAGATGTTGTATTCAACAATCAGTGTGCATAATTGGAACAACACCCGATCTTTAGCTGAATGAAATTACCAGTTTTGAGTTGTTGTCCTATAATTTATACTTTTTCGTCCGAAGAACAATCAAATTTTGATGAAAACAGTCAGCATCAGAATGATACCTATCATTATCAATGCACCAATCAATCAGAAATTTATGGATTGCCAAAGCTTGCTGACTGCTTTACATCTTTCTGCTGTTCGATTTGCAAACATGGCATCTGACACTGAACCTCTCCATGACCTTCGTAAAGTTGTTGGATTTATACATTAATTGTCTTTTACGTTTACAATTGAAATTAAAGTCAAGCAATTGTTGATATAAATACCCTGTCTTGTCCAGAAATTAGATAATTATAAGGATGGAGTCTCATTTTCTTTAGGTTGTGCTTTAATGAAATATTTTTGTATTCTCCTTTACAATCTTTCATTCCCTCTCTGCCCTTCATTCTCCCTCTCTCTCTCTCTCTCACGTTCTCTTAATCCCATGGCTCTGTCTCTCGATTTCTCTTTCCACATCCGATTTGACATTTTAAGTTACTGTCATGAATTCACCCTCTTTCTTAGCCCTTTGTCTGATTAATTCGCAATCCTTTTGAATCATTGGTTGAGGAAGTATATTATTGTTCCATTCTCCACCAATGTTCTGGATGTCTTGTTTCGTTCCCTGTTCTAATATCAGCAGCATGCTTATGGCATAGTAGTAGCGTACTATCTCTGAGCAAGGAAAGCTGGGTTCAAGTTCCACCTGCCTCAGAGATGTGTCATTATATCCCTGAATGAGCTGATTAGAAAATATCTACATTTCCAAATAATTGGCCAAATAATTTAAAAACTAGATCTGCAACAATATTATCTAACTCTTGAAACACAGTGCAAGATGCCCCACTCCAGCAAAATCTTGCCTAGTTTTACCAATCTGTTACTTGACAAATCCAAAAGGTTTTGAGACAACTGCAAATGTTTGTATATCATGCAAAGGCATTAATGACCAGCATTAATTTATTTGTCAGCTATTTTAATGTTATTCATTGTTTTTAGGCACAGTAGCCATAGACCTTCAAGATACAAGGTGTAGACCTCCAGCTGGTCCTACCTTGACGCTTCCTTCAGATGGAGCTAAAGAAAGCAGAAGGCCCAGCATTGCACCTGTTTTAGAAGTAGCTGATGTTTCATCGATCCAAGCCTGTGACCTTCTGAGTGACCACTCGGAGGACGAAGCCAATCATTCTGATGATGAACTATCATCAGCACCAGAGTAAGAGTTGTGAAATATGTAATATAGTTTTACTACTTTGAGAATCTTTAGAATGAAGAATTATTTAACCTGAAGCTAATGTTCTATTTAAAGGAAATGGTGACTGCTATACCTGAAGATTTGTCGGTTAGTATATTTGATTAGTTAACATGAACTAGTATATTGACATTCCCATTAAAACTATGTATTTGATTAACAAATAAATCCCTTTTTGCAAACTGCGGGTGTAAAAACTCAATGTTCTGTTATTGATTCATTTTTTGTTATTCATAAATAGCTATTCTATTTTCATGTTAATGGAAATAGCCCAATAATCAATCACTTATCAGAGAGTAATTCTGTGGGTTTACTTAAGAGTAAAACAAATATGTTTCAATCCCTGAAGCAAGCCAATTGATTTCTTTCTGTATAGTACAGTTCTGTACAAGTTCTGTACAACAGTACGGTTTGTACTATACAGCTTGCAGCCCCAACAGAAAAACTATCTAACTGAGCTGCAATATTGTATACATACAGTACATGATATCCTTATAGGTGAACTCACTTAAAGGCAAAGTACACATACATCGGCTCCCTCCTTCCCAAAATTAAGATTTGACAATTTGCAACAGCAAGTGAGCCAATAAGTCTTTACAACATATAGAATAGAATATCCTTTATTGTCACATGTACTCAAGTACAGAAGTACAGGAGCACAGTGAAAGGTTTACAATGTTGCCCCGGATGGCGTCATCTTAGGTACAAAGTGCCTAGGTACAGATTGTAGATATAAAATACAGAAATAAAGGGGAAAAGAAAGGAAAAAAGTTACATTGCTTACAGTTTTCCAAAAGTATAAGTTCGAAAAATGAGAATCAAGTTAAAAAGATAAGCATTACAGCTTTTCCACGAAGGCCCTTCAGTAGATCAGCACAGGAGGCTTCCACACGTGGCCTGCCTGGGCTCACAAGCCGCTGACCATCTGCACTGGTCCCTAGTCCAATAACCGCCCTGCTCCTCTCGGGCCTCCGTCCTCCTGGCCGTTCCCAATCCCTGTGAGCCTCCATCCTACTGGCCGTTCCCACTCCCTGTGAGCCTCCATCCTACTAGCAGTTCCCACTCCATGTGACCCTCCATCCTACTAGCAGTTCCCACTCCATGTGAGCCTCCGGCCCACTGGCCGTTCCCACTCTGTGTGAGCCTCCATCCTACTGGCCATCCCTACTCTGCACGAGTCTCTAGCCAGTTGGGCTTTCCCTTCCTTGCTCCAAATGGGCCTCCAGCCTGCTACACCTCAGGAGAGAACACCAAGATGGAAAATGGGGATAAAAGGGAAGAAAGCAGGAAATTAATAGAGGGAACAGAGGAGGTACGGTTACAGTGTTCTCCTCCATTGCCATCTTGACTGGAAGCACCAATTATTGATAATTTGCTGATCTGTCCAGATCTTGTGAAGGTGACTTTGGAGGTACAGTTGATTCCCACAGTCATCAGCAGTATTGCCTATCATTCCTCTTTGTGTTGTCAAGTGCTTATTTCTGCAGTTGCTGTCACCGAATCTGCTCATCCCAGCAGATTACAGCCAGGTTTTGTTCTACATTAGCCACCAACTGATTCATACCTCAAACTGTTTCGAATGTTTTAAATCTTTTTGGTATTTACAGGTCCATTCCTTGAGTGTTTCCAGTTAATTTTGAAGCTTTGGATTTTATACCCTGGGGCCTTTTAATTCTATCTTAGTTTTAGCCTTCTGTTGGCCCAGTATATTTTCTCTTTCATAACCTGCTCTAAAAAACTGCCGAGTCTCTTCAGCATTCTTTTATGTTTTTGTTTCTTTGGCAAGCTGACCCTCTTCCATATGCTGCTTTAGTGATTGTTCAGTTTCCTCTATCTCCTGCTCCAGTTCCTTCACTAGATTGTTCATATCATTGCTTGTATTTGGCTGGAAGTATGGTGTAGACAGCTTTAGTTGAGGCATTCAAGATGGCATTAGATCATTATTTAAATAGAAACAATATTTAGGGTTATGGGGAGTAGGTAGATAAATAGGTTTGAATCATAATGCATATCCAGAGAGCAGGTGCTGACATGATGGGCTACATAATCTCCTCCTGCATGATAGTCATTTTGTGATTCTGTGAATTATTTCTGTAAATACTGTTTTTTGAATACTTTGCACCTTCTAGATGTGTATGCTGTACATCTTCACCTGATAACTAGGTCACAGCATCCTCATACTAAATGGCCTGTTTCCACACTGTAGGGATTCTGTGAACCTGAGGAGATCACTTGACATGCTTATCCTTCAGTAGCTCTTTGATGCTAAGTCTTCGGTTGTCTAGCAAATCTTCCGAGAAAGCTCCCATCTGGGGGATGTGGTCACCATACCAACAAATCTATCTTCTAAGTCTCTATTTGAAAAATCACATAATCACGAATGAGATCTCTCTGCATCGAGTAAATAGTTGATGGATTCTGTAGCCTTCTGTCTAATTGCCATGAATGCTAGATGATGAGTATGGAAGTTCAATCTATTTCTAAATTGGTCTTCTAATGTGATGCATAGCTTTTGGGGAATTTTAAGCTCTTCCGCTGTTAATCCTGACATGTTAAGTCTGTATAGACCTTCATTCCCAATTGCTAAGCAAAACTCAATGGCTAGCACACCCAAATCTAGAAACTATAGCTCTGACCCCTATTTAAACATTTTCAACTCTGTTAGGAGGCTAGCTGTGCCCCAATTAAACTAGAGAATTCGATGGACATTCTGACAGTATGCCTTTGACTTTCCCTTGCTGTCTATCTGGCACCCCTTCTGATTGTTTGTCTTTCTCACATGAGTTAAACTGGCATCTTATATAGGAAATTGGCTGCTTACCAGCAAACTATGTTTTCAACACTGATGCTATATGAACCAAAGCACTGAGGATTGGCAGAATTTAATACTGTCAACTATATGTTTCATATGTAGATTAACTTGTTTGCTGACTCTTGAAACGTGATGGGCTCCATTTGCATCATGTTTTCTATCAATATCCACCATGTCATATTAATGATAATGGTCTGACAATCAATAACTTGTCTGAGATTGTTTGAGTCTGGGAGTTACACAGCAAAACTAATTGATAAGTTGTGAAACATACATTGCATCAAATCAACTGATTTCTGTTTGAGCGGCTTGCAGATTCAGCAAACAAACTGCCAGGCAGAGTCACAACATTGTGCACACAGCATGAGTTCTTAAAGGTGAGGTCTCCTAAATGTAGGCAACAATCTATTGCATGAGAATTTTTAGTCCTTCCATGTTTGAATCTATGTGGAAGCAAATGCTGAATGCTCTGTTGCATCAGTATCATCAAAGACACTTCAAAAATCAGTTACATATGGAAATAAATGTCTTCATCTTTAAGTAGAATTGGATATACTTCCCTTTTTAGAGAAGAACATTATGACTAACAAACATCACTATAATAACTTTTAACGATGAAAATTTAATGTTGATTCTAGTTAGTTATATGCCCTGTGTTTCTTTTCCATTCAGTTCGACAAACGTACTGCTGGATTACTTAAATGCAAAGACAAATCTTGGTTAGAACCACAATTTGTTTCCCAACTTTAAATTATAGCTTTTTTTGTGCCCATGTAATGATCTCACTCAGAAAGATTGAACAGTTCCAGGCTTTTAACATTCTCATAAATGGTATCAAAGCTATTACAGTCATTAGCTGAAGTGTCAGACATGCTGTGGAGCTATGGTATGGAAAGCATTTCCTCTCGGGGAGTCTAGTTTCACTCACAACCAGTGACTTGACTATGTCTTTAGCCATTTTCTCCTTTGATGCAGAAGCAAAGGAAATAACTGGCTGCATGTTTGAAGCAACAAGGGCAGTTTGTTTTTATTCATGAGTAACCATTTACCTTTTATTGCCAAGTCATAAGTGAACAGCTGACTCATGTACTTGATGGGAACCGTCTGTTCCCTGCAAAGTTTCAAAATTTACACTTCACTTTTAAACTCATATTGAATACTTCCCTCACCAGTATTCATCACGATCCAGATTTTACTGTCAAAATAATGTTGAGTTTAATAAGAATGAGGTTATTAATTTGTAAATCATCCAACAACTTGTGGGAAGACGTACTTTGTGAATCTTCGTGCAGGTTGTTGAACAATTTGTGCCATTTCACTGTTAATCTTGACAAAACAACCTCCAAGTGAACTTTTAAGTCAGTTCTGCATTTTCACATTCATGGCTTATTAAGAACCAACTTTGTGCAGTTGGTTTAACTGTATAAGGAACATGTTTATGGGAAGCTTTTAGTTCCTACACTGTCACTCCAGAGATTTTTTTTTTAAAAAAATTAATTTTTAATTTAAAATTAATTTTTTTTTCTTAACATCCCTTTCTGTCTCCTTTTTCTCCTCTTTATTGATTTTTCTCTTTTTGTAACTTGTTTGACTCTAATTCCTGCTTTCTTTCCTTGGTTCCATTTTCAACGCTGAAATCTGATTGGTTAAGGAGATGGACCATTGGGTCACATTATTTACCATGTTCTCTGAATGCCCTGTTGTCCTCCCAGCAAGCAAACTGTTCACAAGTCTGCGTCAATGTCTCTGTATTGTGTGATCTGACTCTTCTCATTTTTTTTCTCCGACAAAATGCCTCAACTATGTTTCGAGCGCTAGAATCCTAGAACCTTACAGTACCAAAGGAGGTCATTTAATCAGTACGAGCCATTTGCAAGCTATTCCAGTTCATTTCAATAACCCTGTGTATTAGTCCGCTTGCAGTATGTATTCACTTGCTTTTCAGCAATTACTGTGGAATTTGTTTTACTACCTTTTAAGTATGCACTCCATAACCCTATGTGTGAAGGCATGTTTCCTCAGCTCCCTTCTAGTTCTTTCACTAATCTATGACTGTTGGTCAGTGACCCACTTCCCAGGTAATATCCATTTTTTCCCACTTGCTGCATCAGTACCCCTCATTATTTTAAACTCTTCTGCTAGGTTTGTCTTTCATTTTTCTTGATTTAAGGAGAACAATCTTAGTTTCTTCAATCCACATATCTGAACTCTAAATCTCTGTTCTCATCCTGGGAAACATCATCTTCACCCTCCCAAGGGCTCAGCACCCTCAATAAATATAACAGTTATTAATTAACACAAGTAACCATGCTCAAAAAGAAATCCTCATGTTTTTACTGTAAAATATACCGTAACCATCTTACTTCCAATATATATTTTAAGTATCCGTATCTTGCTGTACATATAAATTTGTCTTACTTGATACAATGGAGTTTGGAGATGAAAGGGAGCACCACTATTATAAATTCACTCCCACTTTGCACATTAACAAACATTTTTAGAAAAAATAAATGATGGGCTTAAAACTGTGTCCCCAGTTTTAAAATGATTTGACTTGATTTGTTTTAGGTACGTTAAAGGATACCCTCCAAACTCGCCTTACATTGGAAGCTCTCCAACCTTGTGCCACCTACAGCAGGAGAAAGTCCCATTCTGCTGTCTTAGATTAGACAAGGTATGAATTCCACTCCTGTTTTTCAACTCTGCTAACCAATTGTGGAGCATATTTCTTTCACGAATAGAACACGAGGAACATTTTTCTTAAGAAATATTTTCAGTGCAGACATTTGCAAAATTATAGGCACCTGCCTGTTTGAAAGTCAAAAAAAAATTTTGGATATCTAATCATTTATCCGTTATTGCCACAACACTGCAGTAAGTAAAAATAGTAAAAAGGTGGACAGCGTATAAGATGACATTTTTATTCCAAGATTCTTATTTGACATTAGTATCGAGTCCAACAATCCCTTGAAACTGTGTATAGCCTTCTCAATTGGTGCGATGATAGAGTAACTTCCATGCTCAGGAGTCACTGTGACACAGTGACCTCAGAAGTCCATGCAGAAGACACAGAATTAAGAAGGAAATTCAGAGGTGGGGGGTCTGTGCCCCCTTTCCTGCTAAAAATTGCTGTGCCTGCGCTAGGAGTCAGCCCCAATTTTTTACGTCAACAATACGTGTTTGTTTCACCTTAAAGTTGGCATGTGAGCTAATTCAAACGACACTGACTGCATTGTACCAGTGAGTTTAATGTATGCCACGTAGTAGCAGACCATCCATGGTGGACAAAGAACAGGAAGGGCTCCTCTGGCACAAAGAATGGAGCTGGTATAGGGCTAAAAGTTCTCGAATTTGCTAACTCATCAAAGAACAGTAGTGCAGCGTGAAAGTACAGTATGAGGAAAAAACTGGTGCAAAATTGGAAGAAGGAATCGACCCTAAAGAAAATGCCCAAGAACAAATGCACTAGAAGAGCAAAGTCATGCACTGCTCTGATCAGTATTGAATGGGTTCCTGAAAGTCAGCAGAATTGTCACATTGTCACCAGCAACAAATATCAGAGCAAAATGTGCAGGTGTTTTCTATTTTTGTCATCCTGTAATATTTTTATAAATTTTAAAAAAATGAATTCAATGAAAATATTTTCTTTTAAAGGAAGAATCAAGTTGGCATTTATGTTAATGGATGAAAATGAATTTGACTTTAAGCATATTAAAGTATCTATTTGTTTCAAAATGTAGGTAAATAAATTTCACTCTTCTGCTCTCCAGGGGTGCCAACATAATTACAGTGAAGATGCAAAAGCATATGGTTTCCGGAACAAGCTAATCATTGTTTCAGCAGAAACAGCTGGAAATGGATTGTACAATTTTATTGTTCCTCTTAGAGCTTACTACAGACCAAAGAAAGAGTTAAATCCCATAGTATTGCTTCTGGATAATCCGTAAGTCCTTTTTCATTGTTTTATGGTTTGTCAGTAGTCATCCATAATTCCATCATGGAAAACTGGTTTCTTCAAGTATCTGTAAAATATGATGCCTTGCAAAAGCAGTGACAGCAACAAGCTTTACTTATATTGCCAGTTTACACAATAAAATGTCCCACTTTGTTGCACAGCTTGTTATCAAATAAAATTTGTCAGTTTTCCACAAGGAATTATTAGGACAGATGATCAAAAGCATAGTCAAAGTGATAGATATTAAGGAACACTTTAATGGAAGAGAGAGAGAGAAATAGAGTGGCTCAGGAAAAGAGAGTGAGAATGTAAGCCACCAATACTGGAATGATTAACATTGAAAATGCACAAGATACAGAGGGATGATATCATGGGGGGATTTTAAAACAAGGTTGACTTGAAAATGAAGGTGTTGCTTGACTGGGAGCAAACATAGGCCGATGACCTGGAGCGTTAACAAAAGTAGTACAAGTTAGGGTGCAGGCAGCCAAATATTTTATGTCAATGGAAGAAGGAAGATCAGTCAAGAAGAAGATATTGGTACAGTCAAGTACTAAGGTAGCAAAAATATGGCTGAGGATTTTAGCAAAACCATTCAATCATTCATATGCATGTAATTGTTATTTATAAATTTTAATTCATTTGTGTGGGATGTGACGAGCAGTTATTGCCAAATACAAAAGTAAAATACTGCAGATGCTGGAAATCTGAAATAAAAACAGAAAATGCTGCAAATACTCAGGAGGTAAGACAGCACCTATGAACAAAAATAAAGTTGATATTTCAGATCAATGACCCAAATACTGTCACCCTAAAAAATTAATTTGTTTCTCGCACCACAAATGCTGCCTAACTTGCTGAGTATTTACAGCATTTTCTGTTTCTATTTATTTCCCTTCCCTAATTGCCTGTGAGAAGGTGATGATAATTAGCTTTCTTGAGCAGCGCAATCCATGTGGTGTAGGTACACCAGTGTTTTGTTGGCTGCAGAGTTCCAGGACTTTGACATAATGATAGTGAAAGAAGTGGCAATATTGTTTCAAGCCACCATGGTGTGTGGCTTTCAACTGGTGCTGTTCCCTTTGCACTTATTGCTCTTGTCCTCCTGGGTGAAAGAGGTTGTGTGTATGGAAGGCTCAGGTGAAGGAGGCATGATGAATTATTGCATTGGTTTTTGTAGGCGTTACTTGCGCAGAATTGAGAACGTCTGAAATGTTCTTGGAGCCACGTTGTTTATTAGGCTGATCCAGCTAAGTTTCTGGTCCCAAGGATGTTTGATGGTGGGCGATTCAGCAATGGTGCTGCAGTTGCTTGATGGTGATGTTTGATCAATTCCTTCTGTTGGAGATAGTCATTACTTGTCACTTTTATCGAGCCAATGTGGCATGTATGACTTTAAATGTTGACAGCTTGCTTATTGAGTTCTAAACTTGTTGAAAACTGGCTTTCAGTGGAACATAATTCATGAGCCATTCCAGCCGGAGATAATTTTGACTTTTTATTTATCCATTTGTGGTATGTGGGCATCGCTGGCTGGCCAGCATTTTTGCCCATTCCTAGCTGCCCTTGACAAGGTGATGGTGAACTGCCTTCTTGAACCCCTGCTGTCCACCTGTGGTGAGTTGACCCACAATGCCATTAGGGAGGGAATTCCAGCATTTTTGGCCCAGCGACAGTGAAGGAACAGTGATATATTTCCAAGTCAGGATAGTGAGCGGCTTGGAGGTAACTTGCAGGTGGTGGTGCTTCCATGTATGTGCTGCGTTAGTCCTTTTGAATGGAAGTGGTCTTATGTTTGGAAAGTGCTGTCTGAGGAACTTTGGTGAACTTATAGAATATAATTTGTTGTATGAAATACCCTCTCTATACTGTGCAAACTACAGAGGCTAAATGCAATTTCTAGGGATTACAGCGACCTTTGAAGCCCAGATGTTTTACTGGTGTGCGAGGGGTGTCAAACAGTTACTCTGGTAATTTCCTGGCTCCCATGCTGAACTGTCTGGTAGTCAGAACCTTGAGAAGGATTCTGAATTCTTTCTCTCAGCCCTGGAGAGTCACCTTTAGTTCCTAGCCCCAGAAAAAAGTTACTCATTGGGTACTTTTTTGGCCGATTCCAGTGGTCCCAGTATTAGAGCTGTCTCCATCCCATTCCCATCCAAATTATGGTTGGCCTTGGCTTCATTTCTTGAAGCCAGAGGCACAGTTAATGGAACAATTGCAGAATATAGTAGAGAGGTTACGAGAGAGTTGCAGTGGGAGAGAGATCCACTGAGGTTGTTCCGGAGGGAGGAGGGTAACTTCTTCAGGGTAGGCATCCTGAGAAGAGGCTTCGCAGTGGGGTTAAAATTGTTTCAGAGATAGTGGGAACTGCAGATGCTGGAGAACCTGAGATAACAAGGTGTAAAGCTGGATGAACACAGCAGGCCAAACAGCATCAGAAGAGCAGGAAGG